GGATATTGGAATAGGGAAGAATATGTATGGTATTGTTTCCTTTTAAACTAAGTATTGAATTACTATTATATTTTTTACTTTTCTTAGATTTAAAAAAGTAAAGGATGGATTATGTGAAAAGAACATATTATTAGCTTGTACGTGCTATGAAATTTAAGGCTTTTCTCACTTAAGTTGTATCTGTAAAAGCTAGGTTTTCTAAAATATGTAAGATGATCAATGCTTACTGTTTTATCTAAAGAAAAAAAGTTGTATTTCCTTATTTTTAGTTCAACTAAAAGCGTATATTCATGTTTTTATATACACATGGGTAGCTTTTACATTTTACATACTAATATTAATGGAAAGTGGTGCGGACTTTGTAAGTCTTAAGTAGCCACATAGAATGACATTAAATACATAATGCTAATTGTGCCATAATTAAATTAATTTGAAAAAAATGTACGATAAGCCCATAGCTTAATTTTAATTAATTGTGCTTCTATAAAGGTTAAGTCTTAAATTAAGGTTAGGTATTTCCTAAGCAGATTAAGGTGTTAAATTCATTGATAGTTACTGTTTTGAGTTAAACTGGAAAATACCTGCTAATTATAGATTAGTGTAGCTTAGTAGCATTTAAGCATCTGTAGTTTTAACACATTTGCACAAACACATTCATTAAAGATGTTAGAGCTGTAATGAAAAGTAATTTATTTTGTACCCTATATGGAATGTTTCTTACAATTGTTAGAAAATATGAGTAGTTTAGAGCTTTATTCTAAGTAATATTTCAAAATCACAATGAATCTTTAGTAATATGTAATACTAAATTACTACTTGAACTAATTGATGGTATGCTAGCATTTAATATTAGCCATAAATATAAGAGCATGTGAAAATTTGTTAACGATATTTCTCTCCCCATTTTAGATCTTATAGTTTAAATTGGAGTAACTACTTAAACATAACTTTCAGTGTAGCTCCCTAAATATTTTTCTCAGAAATAATACATGCCCATGTAAGCATTTTGTTTTGCTATATATAGCGATTTTTTGTATGTGCAAGAAAACATTTCTTGTGTATGTGCAAGAAAACATTTCTTGCATGGCCCATTGAGTAAACTAAAAACAAAACCATGATAGGATAATGTATCGTTTTTTTTGGTCAGTCACCTGCTATAGTTAGGGTTAAAGCATAATATTTTAATTGGAGTTCTAAATAAATATACTCAAGTTGATCCAGTTGTAGATTATATATATATTTTTAAAAATATTGCTATGATTTATTTTTTAATTTGTAAAGCACAGCGGTGTTTTGTTTGGAATAATATTTTCTCTTAGGCTATCCACTTGTTCAATAAACGGTGATACTTGAGTGCTAGAATAGCTGGAGAGGTCAGCATGGGTGCCGGGGCTATGCCATCATTATCAACCCGTTATTGATTGAACCAGCGCTTGTGTGTAGCCCGCTTGCCTCTGACCTGGCTGGAACTACTTTCTTTCCTTTGTGTTTGACCCACTAAAGCTGAGTTTCTGGGTTACTCGTTTTTGTGTGTGTGTGTTTATTTATCTCCCTAGCAGGGCTCAATTTTTTTTTCCCCTTGCACGGAACATCCGACCCGTTTAATTATGTAATGATAATTTGTGTGCCTTTTTCAAAAGCTAGGCACTAGACTGTATTTTACGGTAGTAGAAGTTGACATAGATATACACGAATCCTTGTCTTTAATTAAAATAACATATTTTAATTATTAATAATATATTAAAACAAATTTTAAATTTGCACAACATTGATGGGTTGTGTAAGAAAGTAAGCTATCAGGTTAACTCACTCTAGCCTAAACATAATTCTGATACTTTCAAGAGTCTAATTATAGTTTCTTTCACTAACTTGAACTCTTACACATTTAAAATTTGTTTGTTTTGGGATTATAAGCGCTTAGACATAGTCTATTGAACTATTCAATCATTACAAAACCAAGCTCGACCTGGCTCACATCGTTCTATTATAGATATCCTTTGAAGAAACCGACGACACTATCCGTTTTTAATGTATCCCAATTTAGTTAGGCCCATATCAGCTTGCCCATCTCACTCCATTTACGTTCCATCCTCACTTGCTCGAAAGTCAAGATTAGTCTCATACAAATATTGTATTTGTATAGTTTGTTGGCCATATTAGGCTTATTATCGATCTAAAGAGCCTTCAGTTGGTGCATATCATTATCAATAACAATAACAAAGCGGCGCATATAGATTTTATAATACCACCTATCTCCGATGTTTTTATTAAGGTAAAAATAATTACCAACTCATTGACATGAATATATTTCAAGTCATTAACCTAGCCTTGTTGTACCAATAGTCATGGCCTTTGGTTTCTCTAGGTGACATACTGTGTTTATTTGTAAAAAGAAAATAAACAGTTAGGCCTATTTAACCAGTAGGTCCTTTCCAGTGTAATTATAAACACCAACAAACACATCAACAGGTAACCTACCGTGTGTTGACAGGCCAGCAAAACGTTATCATAAATCAAACTAATTGAGCCTGTCGTTCGAGGGCTTTCCGTGTCTCTCGAAGTACACACGTGTGTGACATCATTTACTTAAAAAGCCCCCTGATCTGAAAAATCGCAATTATTTTCAAATAGCGAGTCTATGCCTAGTAAAACGTGACTTAAATTTTACTTTCTATGTTTAAAAAATGAGTTTCTTGAAACATAATAACACGGTTTGTCTATTCTGGCTGAAATACGAGTACCCGCGCGGGATTTTTTATGAAGACAAAACTAACGCAATTACGGTGTATAATATTTCACACGTCTTAATTAGTTATTCGGTCCACTTTAGTTGTGTTGATTTAGTATTTTTCCAATACCAGTTATTGTCAGGGGAAAGGGGTCATTTGTCTGAGGCCTTTAACCTTTACCCCATGGCTCCCATGGGAATAGGCCAGAGAAGCCAAGAAAAAAAATATTTTAAAAAAATATACCACGTTGGCCTTTCGTGTTGTTGTTTTAACTAAGCATTTTAAGTCTTCAGTAATATCTAGTTGTACAAGAAACATAGACCTCTGCAGAAAGTGATGCACTTATGTTTCCCATTATACCAATCCCCTCGGTGCCTGTCTGAGCTTACTCTAATGGTGTCAGGAAATGAATTGCAGACATATGATGCACTCAGCGGCGTAGTTAGAGTGGTTCGGAGTGACACTTTTTGAAACGTTTACATTAGGCCTAATGGCTGGGTAACAAAGTCTAGCTAGCAGTCCTTCAGGATTCAGGACAGGCCACACTATCCCTTCTTATGCTGACGTCACAAAAACAGGTCAACTCTACTTCACCTGCCCAATGACGTAAATATCTCGAAAACAAAAACTAAAATTCAAGTTAGAACAGTGTGGTACTGGGGATGCGATAAATAGATATGTATGTAAATCTATATATCCGTCTGAATGTGAAGAGCATAGATAGATGTATGTAGCAAATCTTGAGTAGATGCACCTCTGGATACATTGTCAGATATTGTGTGGCAAGTATCTGTATCGTTTGTTATACTCTTCCCTAATAAAAACCGCCTAGTGGATGTTGGATTACCTCCAACTCACGCTGGTCTTCAGCGTGCCTTATTTTTTCTCTCTTCCCCAACCTTGGGTTTTTTTTTCTTACTTGTATTATTCGTAGAAAGAAAGCTCACCAACAGGATGCGGTGCATGAGGGGAGGCGAATGGGCATAATGAGTGTTCGTTTTTACGTGTCTGACCCATTTCATGTGTGTGTAACATATTAGAAGGGGGTTTTCTACCTGGAGAACCGCCGGCCAGCGGTTCCCAAATTTTATTTTCGATTTCGTTGTAGAGTAATAATTTTTTTTCTTTTATTGGACTAGTTGAGTATAGTGTGACTTCATTATTCTGTTACTCTTATTTTCCTGGGATATTCAGTTAGCACAATCAGTGTTGTCATAGTGCTCTTGATCGCAGTCTTTTGTGAAACATGTATTTTATATGCCGAAAATATGCCGTATTGTTGTTTAGATGGGAATGTCGTCTTATTGTTGAACACCCCCCCCCCCCCCCTGCGAATAGCATTTTCTAGCGTAGCAATTTACTCATAAAAAAATTATAATGACAAATATGCTTTAGGTGAGCACCTCATCCCACCACCACATTTAGTATCCAGTGCGATTTGTTTCCACGTTATGGGTTTTGTTTTTAAAACATGAAAAATTAAGAAAATATATTTTCGTGTTGGTCATAACATTTATTGAAAGCGGGTCGTATTTCAATTTGAACATGGTTTGTGTAACATCATAGCTTTTAATAACGCTTTTGCATAACATTACACACAGGAGTAGCATGCTGTCCTGTCTTTGCATAAGCTAGTCATTACATTAATGTTTGGTCTGATGGAGAGTGTGTAGCAAGTTTGGCCAGTGGTGTTGTATAATCTGTTTAAAAAACATAATAGCTCATAATTCCCCAGAGCGTCGTGGTAAGCAATTTAATCGATAGCGTTTAACATGTTAGACTACAGTTACGTGGTTATCTATATTTTAACAGTATTGCACTAGCTAGCTCAAGACTAGAGTTTATTATACATGTGCTGGCGAGATAATGTTTTTTGTCTACAAATAGTTATACTCCATTATATTTTCCCTCCTTATTTTAATCAAATGACTTGTTACAAATTACTATCATCAACATCGTGTCTATACTATAGTCGTCTAGAGAGGCCTTAAAATAAATAAGTGGCAAGCGGTCGGATAGCGGTCTAATGTGCATGCACAATATTTTTTGTGCACGTGTCGGTCTTTTGCACTCCGAGGGTATTGGCAAAAAAAATATATTTCTAATATAAGATTTAAAAAAAAATCTTCGGTAGCAAGAACTAACATTTCCGTGGTTGTTAAACATTGGTTGGTGATTGTTTTCTCTTTATCTTAAATCAGTACACTGTCTTTTAAACGTTCCGCGTCTTGGGAAAAATTAACTGTTAGATTTGTTCAAGGATGTTTCACAAGCGTTCTCCAAGACGGTGCGTTATAATTTGTTGTGGAAATGGTTTCGGCCATGCAAATGACCTTGACTCCAACCAAGTGTAACAGTTAACAGACAATGGCCCACTGCGATGGACCTGCAGGCTATGGTGGCCCATAATGAACAGCTTCTGTCGGGATGTTTTCCTCGTGGTAGAGTCACTGATCATACCTTATGTCTATATCGCTTTCAGACTTGTGTTTGGCACGCTGTACCCAGCCTACGCTTCATATAAAGCCGTGAGGACAAAGAATGTGAAAGAATATGTGAGTACATTTTATTTTTTATTTTTCACGTTTTTTTCCCTTCTTTCTCCCCATATTCAAACAGCACATTGACCTACTTGCACACGACGACCTAGTTGATTATCTAGACAATTGTGTTAGAACTGCCGGTGTGCTGGCAGCGGGCGTTGTGTGACACCTGACGGTTCGCATGAATTGGTCAGGCAGCGCCACATTTACCAGCACGATATCTGGCGTGTGGCTGACAGGTCAAGCAGATTGTGGGTCATGCATGTCCGACTGGTAATTTAATAGCCAGTCTAGACTCTAGACGCTATGTCGGGGGGAGGGGGCGGGGGTCGCTTTCTTTTCTTGATGCTCAGGGTGTAGAATAAAGAATTCCCCACAACCATAATATCTCTTCCCGCCCGCCGCCCCCCCCCCCCCCGAGTGTACGATGTAAAATCGTGTTCTCCCGAGCAGTAAAGTGGTATAAATAGTATAAACAAATGCATGAGTAGTCCATACATGTTTTCACAGTTTTCTCAACGGTTCCCTTCCCACCATAAGATGTCGTAACATTAAATCCGCTTCATCCTCTATAAAATATCAACTTAAGCATCCCCTCCAAACGCAGCAATGCCTTTCTAAAATATTCACCTAGCAGGGTTACCGTTAGGTACGTTGATTCTTCATATTACAGTTCACACAAAAAAATCTTAGAATGCGAAATATCTGCTGAAATTTTTGCCCCCAATTTTTTTTTTTTAATGAGTGTGACGTCGCCGACTCCTTCCACACACACTACTACCCCCCCCCCCCCCCCCCCCCCAACAAAAAAAAACACGTTTTGTCAGACTGTGAGCTTTGTCGGCCAAATACTTCCGCCTGTTGTGTTTGATTGTGTCTCATTAGTTTACCCGCTGCATCATCAGTATACAACATTGTCGGTATATGACAGATAGGTCAGTATTTGTGTAGTGTGACTTACGGCCGCTGTATCTTAGGGGACTAACAGCTACTATAGTATTTTCTTAATCTCCTCTCTCTCTCTCTGTTTTAGATAGCCAACACCAAACACGGAGAGAAATGTGTTAATTCACCCTTGCCGTGCTAATGGAAATTGGTTATGTTACTTCACACTTTTGACGTACTTGACATGGAGAAACATATTCTCACATTTTGTTAAACAGGCTATCAATTCACCCTTGCTTTTCTTTGGCTAATGGTGCCGAAGTCATTTTGGCTGAATATCGTTTAGGGTTCCAAGTCAAAATCCTGTATTCGATCTCTAAACATGTCCCGACCACACGACGGCAAGGACACATGTTCACGTTAAGTTTGGTTGCTCGTGTGATCATTATCACACTGGTGTTTAACATAATGAACCCAAGCTGAACTCTGTATTCAAAATCACCAAAGTCAACATCACAGCCAGCTGTCGACTTATGCAAGCATTAGTAGTATTTAATGTACAGTATTGATCCTAGCCGACGTCTAACGTTTTGCCTATAGCGGACTCATGTCACACGGGGCTAATGGTAGGATTGTAGGAAAAAAAGTCACAGGAAAAAAAAACACAGGAAAAAAAAAAACACAGAAAAAAAGTCACAGGAAAAAAAGTCACAGGAAAAAAAGTCACAGGAAAAAAAGTCACAGGAAAAAAAGTCACAAATATATATTTGCATGATATTTGTTAATTAAATATTTAGATAGTGCAAATTAACTTAGGATAATTAAATGTAATGTGTGTAGGCTGTATACGCACAGGAATTTTTATAATTCATCTAAAAATATTTATTTTGAAGTATGTAGATTGTAATTATTTTAAACTTAAGATAAGTAGCATTTAATAGAATGCTCTAAAGTCCACGTTTTTATCGTGCTTTTTTAAAAAAAAATACCAATATTAAATTACCGTGAAATGGTAAGTTCATCTGACTTGCTGCCCTCAACTCATGGCAACAATAGTTATGTTTAGTTCAACCACCTTTACTTCCCACATTTATCACGCTCATTACGTAACAAAACTTAGGATCAAAACAGAAAGCCGAAAAGGTTCAAAGGCTGTCGATGACGCATAACGTCAACAACACAAAATATGTTCAGACAATGCCTACTGAGGAGAGGCCGACCAGAGAATAGCCTATGGCTAAATTTGCCTAAATTTCTTTTATAATTAAATTTTCTACCGCGTTTTTAACTAAATACGTAACAAAAGTTGAGATTGTTGTGTAAATTATATTAGAGTATTTTTACTTACAATTGTTATAAACCATAAAGCTTTTAACGTCTATAAATAATTTATGCTATAAAAAAAATACAACCCACAACAATAAACATACAAAATTTTACAATTCTAAACAAATTTAAAAAAAATATTTCTAAAAAGATTTTTGTGACTTTTTTTCTGTGACTTTATTTCTGTGACTTTTTTTCCGAAATTTTTTTTCCACTGTGACTTTTTTTCTGTGACTTTTTTTCCTAGCAAAAACTGTGACTTTTTTTCTGTGTTTTTTTTTCCTGTGACTTTTTCCGTTTACCAATGGTAGGGGGGGGGGGGGGGGGGGGCTAGGCGGGGCAACATGATGCCTGATTGTTGTTTAACAAACATTTTAATTTTTAATGAGCTTCTATATTACTTTGTTTTTAAGTTTCGTATTTGCGTATGTTACGTATGCTTGAAACATCATAGCACAACTGGATTTTTTTTTTAAATCTGGGATATATAGTTAATAGAAAATATTGCATCTTGTCCAGATAAGCACCGCCACTAATGCGAAATTTAAAGTTAAGCTTATGTATTTGACTTATTTCTGATGTCTACACATTTGAATATTTAAACGCACGCCTTAAAACTTATATACTTCTAGGGTTAGGGATGGGGTTAAAATAATTTTCTTGCAAATTATTATTGACGTGTCCTAATTTCACCCATTCCATTTAATTTCTTTTATAATCTTTTCTGGGTGGCGGGGGTTAACTTTTGTGGGGCTTTTCTGGACGATAGTTGCCAGCATATTAGTGTTAAATCTAGTTCAAAGTCAGTTTTACTTAAGTCATCACACTATGCTAGTTATATACGCTTTTAATTAGTTCACAATGTCTAACAAATCGTGTTTTTATAATATGGCTTTATTTTATATTCAGTTTGAAATTAAACGTCACTAGGTTTCAAATGAGATTTAGGGATTTCTCTATTCTGTGCAGCTGTTTTCACAGCTATTGTAAAACCCGACCTGCTTGCTAATCTTCATCTTTCCCGTCTTTTATCTTCAACTAACACGTACAAAATTAATGTATTACACGACTTGGAAATACCATCCGAAATATTTGTTACCTGCTTGATTTACTTGTGGTTCGGTAATGAATTGTCATGAGCAGTCTCAATGTGCGGGTTATCTATGCAACTTGTGTGTACCTTGAGGCGACCTCTCCCTCCCCCGACCCAAATTGTTGGCCCTGGAACCCCGTCACGTGCGCCGCGGTTGTAATGAAAACACGTTCCAAGAAATCGTCGGGCCCAGATGTTGGCGTAAATAGGGAGCCAGCCTTCAATGCTGTGTGAGGGAGGGAAGGCGGATGTTTGCCACTGTTGCTCTACACGCAGTTGAACGCTCTTTGTTTTTATAAACATTTAAAAAAAAACCACAAGAGAAGACAAAAAATAATAAGAGAAGACAAAAAAAAACCCACCACACCTTCAAACTTACCCGCCCCATTAGTGTTTCGTCGAAGAAATAATTTTCATTATAACGTGATGGGGTGCCGGCGTGCTTTACCCTGCTGGTACGCGGCTGAAAACGTTGTTTTCTATTTATTTTCTCGGCGTCCTACAGATGTGCTGTACTTATCGATTTTTGCCTTCATCATCCCCTGAACAATCGTGCTGAGCAATGAAGATGAGATGCTGCGCCCCACTCTCTCCCCCATCTTCCTTTAGAAACCCGAGAACCATTACATTACAGTGAAGGCAGACAATACCGATTCGTCATTAGCTCCTTTCAATATTTTACATCACCTCTTTATAATTAAACGGGAATAGATTTTTTCCCCCTTAAATTTAGGTTAACCACGAAACGTCGTTTTATTAAAGAAATAAAATAGCCAGTGAAGAAAACACATGTGTATTGATTATTTCATTGCTCACCAGTTTGTAGTGCAGTGCGGTGGGGGGGGGGGGGTCGGAATGTGTAAAGTTAACACTGAACAGTGGAGTTAACAGAAAGAATGCAAAGGCCTGTTTACAGAGCGCTGAATTCTGTGTAAGAAGATTAAATGAAACCTTTACGTGCCGCTGTATGGAGAGAGCTCCTCTCGCCATTGTGATCCTATCATCAAGGTGTGCCGCGTGAACACGCTACTTGATGCTACACACATGTTGTCAGGTACAGCCCCGGGCCGTGTACACGAATAACTGACAACACACTCCTCGCCCCCCATCCCCCTGAGAAGAAAATAAAACCCTTCCCTTTTTTTTTCCTCCCTTCCTTTTCTTGAGGCGAATAAAAGAAAACCTTTACTAAACTCATGTTCGGACACCAGTTTACGTTTAGCCTGAGATGACCCACAAATCCCTTGAACTAAACCGTGGACAGGCGTGTTGTTTGAAGTTTGGCAGCCACTCGGCCTGCTATACGAGGGCAAAGTTTGCTGTCTAGGAGTAAACACGGGGGGCCGTCTCAAAACATCACCCGTGTTTAATCTTCAGTATTGTTTCCCCCCCCCCCCCCCCCCCCCCTCCTCCCACCTTTTCACGCTAAACCATACTTGGGCTTTATATTAGTACTTTACTTTAGATTTGACAATTATATCTAAGGTACTTGAAGATACTGGTTATCTCTTGTTTTGTTTTTTTTAATTTGATGATTATCAGTTGATTTTCTTATCTGAACGTCATTTGAAGTAAACCAATTTAATTTAGCTAAATTGTAAATGAAAAGTGCGTTGTTATGAGTATTATTGGTAAAAAAAATTTTGTGTGTTTGATTGTGTAAGTATTCAGACACAGCGTCTTTGCTATGTCTGAAAGGTAATAAGACTCACCTTTGTAAATAAGAGTGATTATTTTCTCAGTACACTGTCAGAAATTAATGCTATAATTAGTATTGGGGTATGGATTATCGGTAATCGATTGTCCATGCCCACCCATTCATACGGGTAGAAACGTCAATAATGACTCTTAACCTTTTGGACTCGTGTTAAAGTTTTGGGCTAAAATAACTTTAAAACTTATGGAATTATTATTAGTAGGCCTATACTGCCGAATTATTAGAATTAGTTATTATCATTTAGTGACAAGGTTTTTAAACATATCCTTCCCGTCGTTTAGAATCTGATGTATAGTAACAGCCTTTGATTGAATGGTACGGTAGCTTTCACCTGTTTATTTTCGCTTGAGTGAAGGCTTTCTGTGTTCACTCGAACTAATGTATTTTTTCCCCTACCTCGGCTGCCTAAGTCTGTACATGTGTTTTGGGTGTGGTTTTAATGGCGAAGTGATAGGCACGGGCATGTGTATGGACGACTGTGGCGACCGACGCCTGTGTTTAGGTGCGGATAGTTACACGTCAGGTGTGCCATCTCACAACTCAAACTGGGGCTTGTAACATGTGCGTGCTAATGGAGAGTAAAATGTATTTAGTTTTTGAACAGTTACAAGCTTTAAAATAATACCATTTTTCATCTGTAAATACGTGTCTTAAAAAGCTGACATTGCACCTAGTTGCACTTTTATCAGTTAATTGCACTCACATTCAACGCCTTATCTTATAGATAGGTTTTCTTGATATATTGCATAAGGACAAGCAGGTTTTTCTATTAAGGCGAGGGTGGGTCTCGTGCTCAACAGAGATCTGACCTTGGCTTACATCGTCCCCGCCCCATGACATCAGCCACGTGCAGGATCTTTCCACTGGCTTTTTAACACACACCCCTCCCCCAGTCATGTGTTTTCTTCTACGTAACATGGTGTGTACTTCCTTACCTTGTTTCTTTATTCATCGCCAATGTGAAAATAACGCCACTGACCGCTAGTGTTGTAACTTACAGACCTACAATCAGTGTTTCTTCCAGAGTTTTTTCTCCGGGGGGGGGGGGGGGGGAACACTGTTAAAAGTATGTTTTCTATATATATCCCCCCCCCCCCCCCCCCCCGTAGAGATGCCTGGAAGAAACACTGCCTACAATATAGTGCCATGTATCATTTCATTTATAGTATCAGGCGTATAGTTATATAGTTTAATAAGTGGACACACTAATAGCACTGTCCAGCGCTTTAGTAACCCCACCCCCTCGGCATAGAACATATGGGACATGGCAATGTCGGCCATCAAAAACAGCAGCCATGTCAACCAATTATGTTCAACCATTTTCTTTCTCGCCCCCTGCACTCTATCTAACAAAAACTCAACTGCGCTGAAAACGCCTCTGTCGGGAGATGTTTTCCCACATCTGTAATCACACCAGCTGACTCTTTGTTTTTTCTTTCACCCTCACACAATACGTAAAACAAAAAAAGCCACGCGGCCCCCTCTCCCCTTCCTCCATTACGGTGCACACGCCTTATCTTTAGATAACACGTGAGCTTCTTCGAATTGTGATCTCCCTGTACGCCGTATCCCTCCCTAGCAAACCAGTCCAAGATAAAAGAACATTTCCGCTCCTTGGAGGTTGCAGGGAGGGAATTTCTGGGACGGCTTCTTTCCCTTTGGCCCAACTCCCCTAGCCCCACCTCCCCTCTCTCCTACGCCACTGTGTACATCTGTTTTAAAGATTTAAGAGAAAGGGAGGCAACTCAGAAAATTGTTGGACTAGATTTCAAATCTGATTTATCTGACAACATCGCTAGTGGTAAAAGGTGTTGGTTTGCTACATAGCAAACTTTTTACAGCTCCATCAAAGACATAATTTAGATAGCAATGTCAACGTTTTGTTGTAGATGAAAGAAAAAAAGGACACTAGAGAATTTCTGAATAGTCAGTATGTCAGTAATTCCTGTATCTCACTGATATATGTTAACTTTTTTTCTCCAGGTGAAATGGATGATGTACTGGATTGTGTTTGCTCTATTTTGTTCTGTTGAAACATTCTCTGATGTCTTCCTTTCATGGTAAACTTTTTTACTTACTGTTTAGTGTTTTTTTTATTACATAAGAAAACTGCCTATACTTTTTTAATCACAGTGACTGTTAATTCACATATTTTTTCCTCAATTCCTGTATAATTAAAAAAAAACATATTTGGCTCTAGGCTCCCCTTCTACTATGAGTTGAAGATTGTGTTTGTGCTATGGATGCTGTCTCCTATGACACAAGGCTCCAGTTTTCTTTTCAAGAAGTTTGTCCACCCTCAGCTTGCTCGCAGAGAAAAAGTGAGTTTAACTTGGTATAGTGGGTTCAACATTTGATTTCGCTGGGGAAAAAACGTAACTTAACTTTATACAGGGGCTATTTATTAAACTTCAGAAAAAACAAATCTAACTCCCCAGCAATGTTATTATATTTGTACAGAAAAAAATAACCTATATTAGAATGTGCTCTCTAATCGACTTGCTTTGTGTTTGTCTGCTAGGATATAGATGAAATGATTGAGCAAGCAAGTAAACAAGGCTACTCCACACTGCTTACCTTAGGCACCAAAGGCCTTCAAGCTGTCATGAAAACGGCTATCATGGTTAGTTAACTGTTTTCATTGTCATACTTTGCATGGTTATATATTTAAACCCTGAAAATAATTGTCATTTTCATAGTTAAATAGTTTAATGTAAAATTTTTTAACAGCTTGTTTTGACTAACAATGTTTACAAAATTAAATGTGTTGGATATTAAAAGTAATATTTCACTTTAGGAAGATAAGTGTATGAATATTGTGCAATGTATTTGTGCCTCTAGGGTCAGTCAAAGCTTGTGGACCATCTACGAAGGAGCTATAGTACTAGTGATTTATCAAATGATGGACAGAATCTTATAAGTAGACACGAGGCTTTAGACAGTCAAGATGAAGGCGAGGATGAACTAGGTCTGTTGTTCTGTTTTATATGAGATGATTGTGAAGTGTTACAATTTTTAAACATCTATTTATCATAGTGTTGCGTATCTCCTGTCTAAATTGCCATAGTATTTTGTTTAGGAGTTGCTATCAATATTGCAGTAAATCTGCATGAAAATATACATAGATAGGCCTTACATTTAAATGAAATGAGCTTTTGTGTTTTGGGTAATTCAGCCTCTTTAAGCTAATGCAAAATTAGTAAGGTTCAAACTATCATTTATCCATGTATTTAAGCTTGTATTAAATAAACAACACTTATTTTGACATTTCAGACAACAGACTTCTAGAGGACAATGCTGAATTAGAAAGGAGATCTAGAGCTCAACTCTTGAAAAGTAAAAGCCCTGCCACAAGTGAGATGATGCTTTCTATTGCTTTACTAAACATGTAGTTTTCAGCTAGTGCCGCTAACTTTGTAGAATAATACCTTTTGCTTTGATTTTGGTTTTGTAGCATTTTTTTTAGAACAATTAACATGAAAATATACAGTGTAACAATTTTCTTTAATGGATTATTCATAAATGACATCTTGCAATTTTAGCCTATATTGTAAAAGACCTGAATATTTTATCACAACACATTGTCCCCTCCCCCTAAAATAACTAAATTGAGTTTATTAAGTTCCAACCCTCTACTCTCTCATCACCCTGCCTTAAGAAAAAAACATTTGTAATGAAAATCAGTGTGTAGGAAATCCCCTCCCTCCCCCAGCTCTCTAGTTGCTTGATGCTATTTATGAGTGTCCTCTAGAATTAACACAAACATAAAATGCACATATATACATTCTAAACTGCGCTAGAGCAATTACTGAGGAGTACTATTTAATGGTGTTGATTTTCAGCCCTGTCACTGTCTAGTGTAAAGGAGGAGGAAGGGGAGGATGGTGAACATGTTATAACAGAAACATACTCTATTCCTACCACAACTAGAAGACATTATTCCATGAAAGAGGTGGGTCTTCTCACATGTACATTGTACTCATGCATGAATGGCGTATCTTTATTTGAGTTTACAGCCAGGAAAAAAATATTTCAGCATTTTCTTGTGTTGTGCTGGTATATACCACAAGTTTTGTGAAACACATCACCTTCTTCTTAGACTTGACTTACTTGACTTAATCCATTTTACTCCTTGTGGAGCATAGGACCTCAACCATAACCTTTCATTTAGTCCGGTCCCAGTCTGTTGATTCTGAAGCCTGCAAATATATCCCTGCTGTCTTCAGTTCTTCAAGAAGGCTCATCTTGGGACTATTCAGCATATTTAGAATAACAGAATATTTGCAGTATTAAATTGATAGATCACTAAATACAACTCAAGTATAGGTTCCCTTTAACAAATCAGTTGATGGGATGTGCTGACAGTATTTCTTGATGAATATTGTTTTAATGCCCCTTGTAATAGCTGCTGTTAATTTCTATATTGAGTGAAACTCAATATGTTTGTCTGCTGATAAATATCTGTTGTTGTTTTTTTTTAAATTTATATTGCTTTTAAGTGACAATTGCAGTATGTTTACAGTTACAAAAGTCCAAGTTCTTTTACAGATTGGTCAACTTTATGAATAGAGCTTATGCTGATGTGTTATTCTTATTTCAGTTTTATTGTTTAGTAGTTGTTTTTTTTTTCTAGATTATTAATTATTACTTTTGGTTAATCTTTTTCTTTTGTTATATTTTGGATTGTGGATATTAACCCTTTTAAATTATTCTGATTTACAGTGTAGTTGTCATTCTTTGGATGACAATGCAATTTTTTTTTAAAATTATTTATATCACTGATTCAGAAATGAATATTTTTTATGGTCCCCATTTTATTTGGTATTACACTTTTATATTCCTAGTAAACACCTTAGTTTTCCTGCTCTGTTGTTTACCTATCAATGAGACAGAAAATGTAGAATGCTATTGTTTTTCTTAAGGACAATAGATTGAAAAAATGAAAGCATGTTTTTATTTTAAAGAGAAAAAATCAGGAGTCCCGTAAAGCATCAAACAGAGGAAGCAGGGCAGGAATATTGATGGGAGATAACTGACTGTGAGAGAATGGTTGTGTTTATTATTTATGGTTTAGGGTTTTTTGTTTTTGTTCTGTGTTTACGCTCTCTTTAGAAAGGAAGTCAAATGGTATTTGTTTCAGCTTTTAATTTGGCTTGGTTTGGTTTGGCTTGTACTATATTTGCAACATTTTGTTTGGTTTTAAGTAACCTAAGTTGTATTTCCCTATTTTTCTCTACTTTTTAGGGCACAACAGCAGACAATCGCAAGCTACGCAGTCAGTCCCTACCCCCATCCTCTACTCCCTTTGTCAAAAAACCTTTAGTAATTGCCAGTAGTAGCGTAAATTCTAAAAGAAGTATTTTTGAAAATTCTAAAAGTAAAGAAAGCAAAAATCAAGCTGATAGTGATTCTTTAAATAATCAGAATACCTTACAGAAAACTAGCCAGAATTACCCTGAGAAAATTGTGGAGAATGTGGTAATTAGCACCAATTCACCAGCCCATGTTCCTAACACAGTGCCTTCTAAGCAACATTTACTAGTTCGATCCATGTCACAAGACAGCGTGTTAGGCAGGAGGGTGCCATTCATATCCCAGAAGAACACAAGGAGCAGATGGCTGGCTAGATCTCAGTCCCATGACAGTACACATAAATCAGAAACCCCTCCCTTGTTAGCCAAGAGTGCAACGTTGGAAGCCAGTCCATTGAATCTCTCCACTACGTTAACTGTGAGTCAAGAAATAAAAAAACCTGAGGCCGCTACAGAACAGACAGTGGAAGGTGATCTGACAGCCAAATCAAACAGTGCTGGTACTCAGCTGGTGAAACTACAAGAAGACTTGGTAGAGCAGATAATTTGGAGAAGTGTTTCAAAATTTGCCAAGTTACCTGTGATCGAGGAGGTGGCTACCATTGATTTTATCAGCTCTAGTGAGGACCAAAAAGCACCAAGTTCAACTGGTCAGGTTCAAGAAGCTGATGATCCAAATAAAAATGAAGTGCAAGTCATCAGTGTAGATGATTCTCAAGAAGAGTGTAACCTAATCTTCATTGATGCAGATGAAGATTCTGAGCAGTCTGTAACACCAGTCATGAAAGATTCCCCACCTCGTCATACTCCGTATGATGACGTAAAGCTTGCAGAGGACTTGAGAAGTCTTCAAGACAATCAAGCATTTGAAAGGCACAAAGACATGCTTGGTTCTTCCTTTGATGACTCAGACAGTGACACAAGCTATAAGAATACACTGGATAACAAAGACTTTGATAGCTGCTCAGAGTGGAGTGATAACAGCAACTGGGAGACTTTCTCTGAACTGAACAGCTTGGACTCGGCTGGGCTCAGCCAAAAGGAATCAGATGTAGATTCAAAGTTAGATGAGGAAAATGAAGGCCCCTGGAGCGCTCCTAACAGTCCTTTACCTATGCCGAGAGATCCCAGACATTATGATAGAGAGGCTTATGCCAAGAGCCTGCCAATGATTTCATCACAGAGCAGTCAGCGTAGAGATGAGTTTAACCAAATCATGGCCAGACTAAGAAGGGAGGTTAATTCCCCGCCAGCAAGCCCCAGAGAGTATTATTCTGTGGGTAGAGAAACGCCTTATGGGTTGGACAGGAGCTCCCCAGCCAGGTCTGAAGGCCATCGCTTTGACCCTTTTCAGACATGGCACCCACAGCCTGCCGTAAGAAAACTGTCGTATCCGCCTGTAAATTATTTTACCCTGCCGGCTTCACACCCACAGGAGAGGGGAGGCAGAGGGGTGTTTATGAGGTCATCCAGCGCTGAGACCGGAAGCGGAGAGGCTATGTTTTCTGGACAAGGCTACTTATTCAACCCCCTTACATCTGGAATTACTCGCCCTAGGTCACACTCCATAAGTTCGGATCAGACACAAGGAGTACTTTATCCACCTTATTTGTCTAAGAGCCATCCTTCCTATTACTACAAAAAGAAATAAAGGAAAGAAAAGAATTTTTTTAGGTGTGGAATTGTAGCAATAGATAGTTCAGAATAGAGATCAGGATTAAAATTAACATTATTTAAACATTTGCATAACACTATATTAGCACTGAATCAAATAGAGAAACCTCTGATTAAAAAAATTCCTTTGTTGAGTATTTTATGATCCAGTTGTCAAGCAGAAGGGCAGTGTAATTGTGTAGGATGTAATGAGCACCATCAGAGGTAAAGAGTTTTTGTGTTCATCCCTTTTGTCTTGCATTGGTGCTGAGAATGCAATGATGTGTAGGTAGAAGGCAGTGAATAGCAACCACTCTCCCTCCCGTCTCTCTCTAAAGACCAAACTGTCTAACATTGCTGTAGCTCAGATGGAATGCTGTTTCACAGCTGTGTGCTTTGGTGTTCTAAAACAGTAAAAAAAAAAAAAAATTTGTTTGAAATTTTCAGGTTCAAGGTTTTGCTTCAATAACAGTCTTGGTCAATATTGTAAACACATTTTTAATACAAACACTTCTTCCTCTCTTTCTTGTACGTTTATATCATTAAACAGATTTTCTTTAGGAAATGTCAGTAAAACATTTTATTGCTCTAACCACAATGTTTTTCAAATATATGTGTGATTTTGCTGCTTTAAAATATATCTTTGACATGTTTATTTAAGTTTTTGACTAATTCTGTATATTCACTTAAGTTTGCTAAAGTTAAGATGTGTTACTGGAAGGTTTTTTTTGTGTCCCCTCCTTCCCCCAACCTATTTTAATATAAATATTTTGAGTCAATAAATTTAAGACATATTTCTACACCAATCATAGTAAAATAAAAATTCTTTATAATTTGCTGTATTGAAAATTTTTCGTCAGTTTTAATTGTACAATAATTTGAAAAAATCTAATTATATTTTTCATATTTGAACACAAGTATGTCTCTTAAATAGCCATCTCCAATTTCATCTTATTTAATTTTAGATAGTTTTAAGCAATGTGGCAGTAAAATATACATTGTCCCCTTAATTTATCATTTAAAATGTATTATTACAGTTTTAAATATCTTAAATATTATAATAAAAAAATTAAACCTAGTTACTTCTTTTATTTCCAGAAGAGCAAAAAGGTAACCAATCAAACTTGGGTTTACTTAAAAATTAAATTTGGTGGTAGCCTGTTTTTAACTTATTAGATATTTAAGTTATAATCAACCATTTCAGTTCTCTTTTAGAATTGTTTGAATTTGTAAACAAGATTTAATCAACACTAAGCATAACTTCCCTTTTGTTAAAACTTAATACTCTGACTTTTTATGCAAAATTCATTTGTATTTTGTTTTTGGTAATGTACATTATATAAATAAATATATATATATATATATATATATATATATATATATATATATATATATATATATATATATATATATATATATATATATATATATATATATATATTAAAGATGTACACGTTCATAAAATTATCTTTTAATATTGTTGTGAGCTATAGATCTAGTAATTATTTTCCAAGCATTTTGAAATAAACCTCCTTTTTTGGTAGTTTTTAGTTGTACAGACTCTAGACCTTGATATACCCTAATTTACCCATAGACATTGCTACCATCATTGTTTCCTTTACAAAACTGCAATTTGTAACTCATATGTGCATCCATACATAAAAGTGACTGCCACCAATCACTATTGTTATTTTATTTAAAACCATTTTTATATAAAGAAATCAGATGTGAATTTGGAAGTTTAATTTAAAATTATGTTCTGGCTCTAAAAAAGTGCATGATGATATTTTATTTTATAGTTGACTATTTTACACATTTTTTTAAAGTAGAGTATTATTATTTACAGAGAGCTAAACTATACTCTGAAGTCTCCCTAATCTAATCCAACTTTTTTGTTGTATTTTTTACCTTAAATTCCCCACGCATTTAAGCACTTGATTTGATTGAAATATTATAATGCAAGTATGCCATGAAATAATACCATCTGAAATTTTACTTGATCTATTTTACTTTTTCTATTCCTCAGACAAAGCAGATAAATACTTACGGCACAGTTCCCAGGTCTAGAGCCCGCACCAGAGCCACAACCAGAAAATCCATTCTTCCACCATGATCTCCATGCCTTGATTGTTCAAAGGTCTTTCGTATTGTACAGCCAATTGAGACTCATCATTTGCATGGCCCAAAACTAAGAGAAATTCAATGTGATGACCACCCCTCTGCATCCTCTTCACTATCTCATTTGCTTGCAAAGAATGAAACTCATTTTTATTATGTAAAACAGTCGGTCAAGATTTTGGCTCAAAATTTCTATTTTTCGTCTTGGAATAATTAAATCCTAATTTATTTCATAGCTGCTGAGCTCTTCTCTTGTTGTGACTGAATTTCGTAGTTTTTAATAGCCTTATGGGCGTAATTTTAATGGTTTTTTTCTTCTGACATAAATACTCCAAAGGAATTAAAAACTTGGTCTAGCAGTTAGTTGTTGGTTTTTTTTTTCTTATACAAGATATGTACAGCTTTTAATATAGTTTCATTTGCCTTATTTGAAAAATATTTTTTTTTGCTTTAAGTTAGTTTTGAAAAGTTCTTTCTTCATGGTACTACAACAGTTTTTCAGTTGTTGATATTTATTAATTTAGTTTTTTTCATAGGTGTGTTTTGCCTTTGTTCTTTTTCACTCTTTTTGAGTCTTTTGTTCTGACACAAACTTCTCATTATTAAAGTCCTATTTTTTAAAAATAATCATTTGACAGGGTGATTTTATTTCATCAATGGATTATTGTATTGTCAGGTAAAATAAAAACAATATTTGGATTTAATATATATAATTGCTAGCACAAATATTAAAAACGTCTTAACATTTTTTAACTACATGTGACAGTGTATTATACTTTTGAAGAAATTGTAAATCTACATAAACTTTACAACTAAAATAATTATTTCTCTTCATGGACATTTGTTTATTATGTTTTTAGTTTCTAGATCATGCTGAAGTGACTGGTAATGATGAAAGATTGTTTTACAGTGAATTCTCCTTTAGTCATTCATGCTGGCCGATATAACTATTTTTTTTTTACTAAATTGGCTTAGATTAAGATGGGGTTTTTTTTTCCAATATCTTGCTCTAATATCATATCTAGCTGCCTTTATAATGTAATATATTAAAAATATTACACGTTTTTGATACCACTATTCCCATAACAAACCATACAGTTTAGTCTTGTAACCATTGCTCTTTCCAAATCATACTCATAGAAAGTAAAATACTAACAATAAATATCAAACATGTTTTTGACTAAGACCTAAAATTTCCATTATAGTTAGGTATTTATTCCCTCAGCTAGTTGCTTTGGTAGTTTGACAAATATTAATGCAAGGTTTGTATATGCTGCTAGTATACATTAACTAAAAGTTTTCATTAATGATAACTTGAGCGTAACACCTAGTCATCTGAAATATTTAAGATATTTATATCACAAACAATTATTTTCAGAGCTTTTTCAAACACATTCCATTTTTTGCAATGTTTACAACTTTAATTACTACTAGTATACCAAGACTTAATTAAACTTATTAATACCTAGCTGTTAAGAGTGGAAATACCTAACGGTGGAATTTTCCCAACCCAGCATTTTTTTGTACAGAAGTAATGTTGATTGAGGTATGTAAGACTGGTCAAGTGTTTGTTACTTTTTTTATTGTTTCATTTTGAGGTACGCCAGCAATGTTTCATACAACTGGGTTTGCATGTTAGATAACTCCCGAATACACATGACTCCAGCATTATCTCTCTTGTTATTATTGAGTTTTGATTTCCTTCATGATGACCTGCATGTGTGAACCACAACTTTGTGACATCTTTTTAAATTTGTCATTTTGTATGCTTTTTTAAATTTAAATTGCCAACTAAATTCTCTGGATATCCACTGAATCTGATGACATTGATCATTATGTCCCTATTGTTTTTATTGCAAGTTAATCTAATGTCATTATGCCAAAATGTTAAGCTTTTTTTTTTTAAATTTTCTTAGCAACATAATTTTACCTGAGGACATTCTAAAAATGTTAGAGCAATTCATGTTTTGGGGGTTTTTTAAACAAAGAATTTGAATAAAACTGGTTTAACAATCAATTTTGTTTTAATATATTTATTTGGAAATTGTTAATTATTGAGGACTATACACTGATAACACTGAAGTTTTTTTTTTGCACCATGTAACTTTTTATGCTGAAAGTGGATGTGCAATCTAATTAATATGTACTTATGTGAAAAATGTCGTACAATTTCAAAATGTATTCTAGAAATGAAAATCTGAGTAATCCTCAATTCATATGATTGTGTTATTATTTGCTTTTTAATAATATTTTGCATTTGTTCTTCATTTAAAATTGGTAAGTTGATAAATAAATATATTCAGGGTAACTTTCCCTTTCATTTTATTTTATTTTGGATTATTAAAGGAATTATTTATAACAAATTTGAGATTTTGAAAAATGTTTTTTATTTTCTTAACATTATCATAGCTAATACAACTAATATTATTCTTTGAAGTTATAAACTTACAAAAGCTTGATCTGAATAGGTTTATGATGCGATGTAGAATATTTGTTTCAATGGTTGTGCTAAGTATGTGCATATCAATTAGCTTTTCTTAGTTAAATGACTAATGAAAGGTGGTTAAAAGAATAATTAATTCAAATTTTAGAAAAACATTTTAAAATAGTAAGACGAGAATATTTTTTAAAACCATTTTTATATAGCTTTTTATAAAGATAACTATTTCAGAATATATTGAGAATGAGCAAACTGATATTGAAGGATATGTATGTTTTTCAATAGAAATCTTTAGCTGCCTTTTTTGAACATTGTGTGATCCCCTCACTCAAACTTGCCACTTTTTAATTAACACATAAGTGTTATGTGTAGCTTACACCTTTTTACACTGCAGTTTTGTTTGAACAATAGTTGAATCAGTAAATCTAGAGTACAATTTTTAATCTAATATCAAAATTCACAAATAAACATTTACAGCTCTGATTATTTACAATAATTCAAAACAAAACATGAATTTAAAATAAGGAAATTTCATGGTTTAAGGTTGCTTTAAATTTCTTTGTACTTAATCCTCAACTTAGTAAAGACCATGTCATTGAACCTGTTTTTTTTTTTAAACATCTGCAATATTTCAGTTATTTAATATGATGGAATGTTTTGAACATGGGGTAATTGTTTTAAACTTTTGAGGAATCTTAAAAGATGTGTTAATCTACAGTGTATGGAGATACGAACATGATGCTATATAACACATGGGTACCATTACTGTACTAAGTTCTTGTGACAGGAGGACATTTACAAAAGTAAAATCTTTATTGTACTAAGATGTTGGGTCATCAAGACAATCTATTCTAGTGAACACCGAGCTTCCAGTAGCTTATGAGCTTCCATCTATGTTTAAAACTTTATTCAAAAAAAATATTATTGGGTATTCATGAAAACCAATCTATACAAAGATACTGTACAGAAAAAAATAATTGTTTATGCTTGATGTTCTTTTAATTTAGTTCCACGTATAATGACTTGGCATGTTTCTTTTAAATGATACATTAGAAAAATGTATACCCTATCACCAGAATTTTGATTGTGTGTATACTTTCACATTAGTTTTTGTGCAGTTTCATATTAACAATATAGTTGACATGAGGCATATGGAGTTATTCCCCATTTACTGTTTGATGTGTATTTTTGAATGATTATATACATTGTCTGCCTGATACGAGTGCATGCTGCTAGACCCATTCCATTTTTATTTCAAGTTATAATTTAGTTATTTAATTACAAGATGCAAAAATTATACGTCTAATTTATTTTCCAATAATTTTGTTGCTTTTCCATTACAGTAGTGCAGTTTTTAATAGTTTAATAAACATTAATATTTTTATTAGATGCTGAGATTTTATGAATAGTTCTAACCTTAACTACGCATCTGATTTATTTTTCTATAGTGTTTGTTTGTTCAATTACAGTAGTTATTTTTTAAGCTTGATTAAACTAACATATTTAATTTAGGTCTTGAGCTTTTATATATAATGATAATTTTAATTACAGAAGTCCTATTTATTATGCTTGTTTCAAATTAAGCTTTACATTCATCATATTTATCTTAAGTAATACAATGTAGCCACTTGGATACTATAACATTTGAAACATTGTCTTAAAGAATGAACTTCACCTCCCCATTGAAAACACAATTAAAATGGTGTACTTAAAATATGTGGGTGTCAAATATTTTTAATTTGTTGATAATTATTCCTGAAATATTAAATCATTAATTTTTACCCCCCACACTTTTTTTGTTATTATGCTCAATAAAAAATATGTTTTCTGCTGTAGATTTTAATTTTGTTTTTTAAAAAAATGATCTGTTTCTTTTTATATTTGCACCATTTATTATGATGCTTTGCTGTTTACTTTGTTTTGTTGCAGATGTAAAGAAAGAAAAACAATTAAATAAATACTCTGATCCAATAGCTGTGAGTTTGAACAATTCTTTGTTTCAGTGTTGAAAGGTATGGTTGATTTCATGCTATATATGCAGTCAATTTAACTTTTGAGAAAACCATTTTTGGGACGAATACGTGTTAAACTCAAGTCTAAAACTTATATTTTCATGAGCAACATATAAAATTGTTGGATTAAATAAGTGAAACATATAAAATATTATTTTATAATATATTAATTTTGTAATATATTAATATATATAATTTAATATTGAATCATCATCTCCATACTCTATACATTGTGGTTTATAGTTTATTTCTGATACTATTGTAGTCTGTTTTTAGTACTTAAAGATTGTAAATGTTATGGTAGCCTACATATAGGAATCATGTACATGCAGATAAGTAGCCTAAATAGAACCTATCCTGACATTATACATCCACTTGCTTAGGGGTATATCACATGCTTAACTTCTGTTACCTGTTTAAAATGACTGGAGAAAAAAGATCTAGTTTTGTGTATGTTTGTTTAATAACCTACTGTAACATGAAACAATGAGAACAGCGAGGTCGGGTGTCACCCGGTGCAGCACTTAATGGTGTCACCCCCTCCCAGAGGCGTTGCGACCCTTCCTGGGGACAAAATTTCAAGTTTTCGATTTGCACCCCCCCCCCCTCAAGCTTTCGATTTGCACCCCCCCCCCCCCCCCTCAAGTTTTCGATTTGCACCCCCGCTCAAACTTTCGATTTGCACACCCCCCCCCCCCCACCTCAAGTTTTCGATTTGCACCTCCCCCCCCTCAAACTTTCGATTTGCACCCCCCCCCCTCAAGTTTTTCTCTATATATTTTGCTATTTTTTGCCTTGGTGTCACCCCCCTAAATGGTGTCACCCGGTGCGGTCCGCACCCCCCCCCGTCCCGTCCCCCCCCCCTCGCTACGCCCCTGGATCAAGGCATCATTTCCTCCATCAGGCAAAAGCTTGTGTGGAAAATATGTATGTGCAGTGCTCTGCAAAGACTCAAACAGGGCTATTTGTATTATATAAACTAATGATTCTGTAGATTAGAGGGAAATTTTTTATAGATAATTTTTAAAAACGTGTGTGACTCACAAACATGTAGAATGCAGGATGATTTAAAAGTGAAAAACTAGCCAGCTATATTTTCTATATTTATTTTTGCCATTAAATTTAAGGCATAATCTCATCTGGACTTTTTATTGCTCTGGTTATCGTGGTTACCTTTAGTTTTATAGTCCACCATAACAATAAATAGTTTGCTTTAATGGGGTAAAGTGTTGTAGTAAATGTTACTACGGTCTACTTTTTCAGGTGCATTTACCTAACACAGAACAATCATCACTTTCTTTGCAGAAATTAAACCTAACATTGTATGTAGTTTCACTTGATCATGTCATGGATAAATAAAGATACATCTAATGTGTGTTCTGGGGGGGGGGGGGGGGGGGGGGGGGTACATGAATAAAGCTATAATGTTCTAGACCCAAGATATAATATATATATATATATATATATATATATATATATATATATATATATATATATATATATATATATATATATATATATATATATATATATATATATATGCTATGTCTCGGGTCAGCTCGTTAGTATATATTTTAATAGAGAGAAATAAACCTGGGAGTGTTCTCCCCTAAACTTTCTCGAATATTTATAATAATAATATTTATAATAATATATATATAACACTACGGAGGATGGCAACTGGGAATACAGACATGATTTTTTAAAATCCATTTTTACATTCACAGAAAAAAAAGGTCACAAATGTATCTTTGCATTGAATTTGTTATTAGTTGTATGTATTAAATATTAAGAAAGTGCAAATCGACTTAAAATTAATTTAATGTAATGAAATGTGCGTAGGCTGTATACGTATAGTGATATTAGGTTAGGTTTGGTTTGCCTGTCGTCCCTACTGGGACATAGGCCGCTGACAAGAGCTTTCCAGACGTCTCTGTTCTGGGCTAGTCTCTCCAACTGTCCCCAGGTGTATCCAATCTTCTTGGTGTCTTCTTCCAGGTCACGTCTACAGGTCTTTCTTGGTCTGCCTCTCCTCCTCCTGCCTTGTGGATTCCAGGTGAGGGCCTGTCTTGTTATGCTACAGAAATTAATCGCTACAGAAATAGTGGTATTAATAACATGTAAATATTTAGTGTGAAGTATACCTCTATACTTATAATATTTATTAACACACACACACACGTACACACACACAGACATACGGAATGTCGAACACCTGCTTCAGTTAAAATTCCAATTTAAGCTATTTTGCCATTTCGATAAGTTGAAGTTATGTTGCCATAACGATGAACTTTCCAGTACCGACTAAAGTTTGGTTTAATTTCCGACTAGATAAAACTCCGCTTCCTGAAAAATTATTGTAAAAAAATTAAACTAGCACTTTAATAACAAGCTTTTATATAAGTGTGCACTATAAAAAGTAGAAAATAAATAATTGTCTTTAAATATGTATTAACGCACTACTATTTAAATAAATATAAAATAAAAGCGTAGGTCATTTTATAATTATTTAAAAAAATTGCGCATTGTTATAAATTTAATGAAAATCATTATTTTAGTGCATAAAACTTGTTATTAAAGTCATTTAATATTTTTTTTAAACTGAAAGACCAGGGCACAGCATTTAGTCTGGCCCCTACCCACGCAGATCTGTCCGGCAAAGGTTAAACCCTTCCAAAAGGACGAGGATTTGCAGGGGGTTACTGGGGCACACAAGCCATCCAACCACGCCAAGGCGCTGTGCCGTTAGGATGGCCCATGTGCTTCCGTTACGGTTTCACGGGCCCATTAATGAGTGTTCTGTCCACCCGCTCGCACGTCTCCCATTGTTGCTTCGCGAGCGCACACCTAAGGGCCACGACAGCGAGATGTAGAGGGTTGGCCAACCCTCTACACGGCGCACTCGCAACCGATTGGTAGCCAACTTGCTCCACAACAATGGCATGCGTAACGAGCGAGTGGACACTCTAAAAAGTGGAACACCTATATGAAACAATTGTTGCCGTACTTGTCACATGGGAGAGCTAGGCCTAGCTGACGAGAATTTAAAATGAACTACAGAACAATAAATTACGCGGACGTAAAAGTAACGGCTTCCCTTGAAAAACGCTCTGTCGTCTGCAATAGACAAATCGTGTTTTCTTTTGTTTGTGTGGTGTGTTTGTGTTTACGTGGACGTTTATGTGTGAAGTTTATTTACGCTACCGTCTACACATAAAAATGTCATTCAAATTACAATATCCATTTTCAAACAAAGTGCTACCGCCACCTGCGCGCAGCGCGGTGCGCTCTGATGTTATATCCATATTCCCACTGTAGCGAAGCGCGGTAAACTCTGAAGATACCGACACCCGCGCGTAGTGCGGTGCGCTAAAAAAATACCCGCCCAATTGCGGGGAACCCCATCTGCGCGCAGCGCGGTAAACTCTGAGGTAATATCCATATAAACACCGTTTATTGTGAATTACCTTGTTCTGGATTTGCAGTTGTTTACAACATATATCTACAAACTGCCCCACCATGCTTGAAGCAAACCCTTTACACTTTATTTCGTCAATAGTAGCCACTATATCTATATCACAGTTACACTCTGGGCAAGGAAATTTAAAATGAACTACAGAACAATAAATTATGCCGACGTAAAAGTAACAGCTTCCCTTGAAAAACGGTCTGTCGTCTGCAATACACAAATTGTGTTTTCTTTTGTGTTTGTGGTGTGTTTGTGTTTACGTAGACGTTTATGTGTGAAGTTGATTTACGCTACCGTCTACACATGAAAATTACAATATCCATATACATAGATCTCTACGCCTTTGTATATTAGCCTGTTTATAGCTTATATAATATAATCAGAGTTTTTAATTAGAAGGAACTTTTTAATAATGGCGATCACATATTTTTGCGCCTCTTCTTTGGATAGCGCCCTAGGCGACCCCCTAGTTCGCCTTATAGGTAGCGCCGGTCCTGATTATATGTCATAGTAGTAGAATATACAAAAAATTCATAAAAAACGTTTTAATAACAAGCTTTTATGTAATGATGCACTAAAAAGTAGAAAATAAATTATAGACGACTATTTAAATAACTATAAAGAAAAGCGTGGGTCACTTTAGTATCTATTGGATACCTTTACTAATGTTAAGGAAGACACCCACGCTTTTCTTTATAGTTATTTAAATAGTCGTCTATAATTTATTTTCTACTTTTTAGTGCATCATTACATAAAAGCTTGTTATTAAAACGTTTTTTATGAATTTTTTTTTCAGTACTTTACATGTTTTATTTACAATAGAGTTACATGACTAAAAACCATTGCGCGCCCACTGAACATCACGTTCAGTAGGCGCGCAATGGTTTTTGAACGCAGCCATTACGTGATGGCGCAGCTATTGAAGGTGATGACGCGTGTGGTGTGGTTGGCTAGACATGCCTACTAATTCGGTCCAAATTTTAATTAATTCGTTAAAAATCAATTAGGCATCCAATTAAGTCAAATTTAGTTTCAGATTGCATTGTCTTCATGTCTTGACCCACGTGCCAAATGTGAATCGTATCGGTCAAGTAGAACTGTCCGAATTTTCACTCCTGCGTTTCCGTCTGGACTGACGACAGAGGAAGTGAGTTAAATAAAAGCTTGTAAAAACCCTAACTACGATAAAAATCAAGTAAACATCGATATCACCACCGTTGTACTAAAAGCGACTTAGGGAAAAACATTTCTAGCACTGAATTATATTTTTAGCGTAAGGTTTTATTTGAACGGAAGTTACGTTTACAATATCTTGGCATAACTTCTCTACATTAAAAGTAAACAATATTTAAAGCTAACAAACTTTAACTTCTCTCGGTTTAGTGAATAAAAAAATGATTGACGCCTGTACCAGCAGCACGAGTTTGAGTAGTGGTCAATCTACAGAACAAGATCAACAGTACCTACGAATAGCAGTACGAAAAAAAACTTGTCGCCACAGAATTCACATGTGTCTAAAAAAATGCCAATGGACATGGCTATACAGGCAGAAACTAGCAGGGAAGGAAGCATGTTTGCTCAGCCAGAACAGTTGGGTAAGCTGCGCTTGAATTATTTTATCGTACGAGCTGACCCGCGACGTAACATACGCCGCTATTTATTTTAATTTCTATTTTCAGTAATTCATAATTGGTGAATGCTGCGACTGAAATTATTTTGCGATAAAACACTATCAGTATCAGTAACTAGTGAAGGACGATCAGAGTTCTTCCAGGCATCTCTACGAAGCCCCCCCCCCCCCCCCCCCCCCCGAAAAAATTCTACCGCCCCCGAACGAAATGAAATAATGAAATTTATATAATTTATGTAGAAAATATATAATTTTAACAGTGTCCGCCCCCCCCCCGATAAAAAGTCTACTGTCCCCCACCCCCCGAAAATTTCACGTGCCCCCCCCCCCCCCGGAGAAAAAAGTCTGGAAGAAACACTGAGGACGATTATCCTCACTTTACACTCCTCTCTATCCCCCCCCCCCAGCCTCCGTCAGTGTTCCTCCAGACTTTTTTCTCAGGGTGGGGCACTTGAATTTTTCAGGGGGTGGGAGGGGGGGGGGGGGGTGAAGGCGGATAAAATTTAGGGGCGGACACTGTTAAAAGTATATACTTTCTATATAAATTCCAATTCGTTCGAGGGGGGGGGGGGGAGGGGCTGTAGACTTTCTTCGGTGAATCTTGATCAGTTACGGGATCAAAAACCTAAGCTCTCGTTTTTGCGAGAAGTTAAGTGTATTTAACTGTTCATCTCACCACACACCACCCATCACATCTACTCTCCCCCATATCTCCCCTCTTCCCAAACACATACCCATACACCTCCCCTCTCCCCCACATCTCCCTCTCCCCATCTCCCCACATCTCCCGTCTCCCCACACACATACCCATAAATCTCCTCTCTCCCCACTCACATACCCATAAATCTCCCCTAACCACACACATGCCAATAAATCTCCCCTCTCCCCACACACATACCCATAAGTCTCCACTAACCACACCACATACCAATAAATATCCCCTCTCCCCACACACATACCCATAAATCTCCCCTCTCCCCACACACATACCCATAAATCTCCACTAACCACACACATGCCAATAAATCTCCCCTCTCCCCACACACATACCCAAAAATCTCCCCTCTCCCCATACATGCCCATAAATCTCCACTAACCACACACATACCAATAAATCTCCCCTCTCCCCACACACACATACCCATAAATCTCCTCTCTCCCCACTCACATACCCATAAATCTCCCCTAACCACACACATGCCAATAAATCTCCCATCTCCCCACACACATACCCATAAATCTCCACTAACCACACACATACCAATAAATATCCCCTCTCCCCACACACATACCCATAAATCTCCCCTCTCCCCCACACACATACCCATAAATCTCCCCTCTCCCCACACACATACCCATAAATCTCCACTAACCACACACATGCCAATAAATCTCCCCTCTCCCCACACACATACCCATAAATCTCCCCTCTCCCCATACATGCCCATAAATCTCCACTAACCACACACATACCAATAAATCTCCCCTCTCCCCACACACACATACCCATAAATCTCCGCTCTCTCCCACACACATACCAATAAATCTTACCTCTCCCCACACACATACCCATAAATCTCCACTAACCACACACATACCCATAAATCTCCCCTCTCCCCACACACATACCCATAAATCTCCCCTAACCACACACATACTCATAAATCTCCCCTCTTCCCCACATGTCCCCCTCCCCCTGTACCTAACATACCCCTCTTATCTATTCTTATCTATCCCCCCCCCCCCCCCGGCAGAGTTGTCTCTTGAAGAATTAAAGTATCCTGATGCAACGGAGTTGGCCATCAACATAGATGATCTAAACACTGTCATGGCAACAATCAATTTATTCCAAGATCTTATCAGCACACAAGTTCACGCCCTGAACAAGACCCTGTCTGACCTGGAGTCGGCACCGTATCCCTGGGTGGCTGTCATCATTCTCAAGTCTGTCAAGGACAGAGCTGCTTTGTTAAAAATAACGTACAGTTCATGGTTGAACGTGAGTTGCCTCTCTTAAGGATCTAAAGCTTGGTTAAGTTTTACTGCTTTGTTTTAATCCTTTTTAAAAAGTAGACTGTAGACAGTATGTGGTGGTATGGTTTCTCTGGCCTGAGCAAATGAAAGGAATGGCAGTAGCGTAGCGGGGGGGGGGGGGGGACATA